GCCAGCATTACCCATGAAGGAATTCTCCAAGGTTGGAGAACACTCTGGTGTTCGGATGTGAAGAGAGAATAAGAAAAACAAACATTGCAAGGATTTGAGCATTGGCATTTTGCACATATTTATTTAATCTCAGCATAAGTTGACATACATAAAAGGTTTTACAATATTTATTCCTAGGGATTATAAAAGTGAATTATTAATAGACACGTTAAATATACATATAATAAGAGCTGACCTGAACTGTGCCTTAAACAGGTATACATTGTCTTTAATATATGGTGACATTTGAGTACTATTCAGAGTTTTAAAAGCTTTTAAGTAGATTTAACCTCACATTAGAAAGCATCTAATTTTTTTTCCCCAATTCAATTAAAATCAATTCATGAAGCATGTAAAAACACTTGCTAAGGGCCAGTTCCTGTGCAAGGTACTGAATGCCATGTGGTCCAGGCTTGTTCCTGGATATGGGAAAATGTGTAAATACAGTCATCCCTCCAAAATCCATGGTTGCTCAAGTCCCTTATATAACATGGCATGGTATTTGTATACAGCCTATGCACATCTTCCTGTATACTTCAAATCATTCTAGATTACTTATAATACCTAATACAATGTAAATGCTATATAAGTAGCACTTTACACTCCCTTTTAGCCTTTCAGGTTTGCTTTGACCACTTAGTTGCTTTTTATCCCCACCTCCCCGAACATTGTCCATGTACAGTTGGTTGAATCTGCAAATGCAGAACCCATGTATATACAGAGGGCAGACTGTAATGTGGCTACTGACATAAACTCTGATGCAAATAAAATTTTTGTACATTTCCATTTTTAGTTCATATCATTCTCTCCTCATGAATAATGATATTGCAGAGGAAAGGGAGAAAGGAGAAAATTTATTTTTAATCTAAAAATCAAACTTTTTATAAACTAGGAAAGCATCTAAAATAAGACATAACACAAAAGAGTACTTTTGTTTACATTATCCTAATATGATGTTAAAATAGATTATGTCCTGAATCTACCCTGACATTACAAAAAGCCAAAAGGACTTCAAAAAGCATTCAATTTTAAAATCTCTTTTAGGAAGTTACCTAAGAGACCAACAGAATAAATGAATGCTGCTAGAATTACTAAACTGACACTAGAAATTAACACAAATGGAGCAGATGATTCATTTTCTACTTAAGAACTGGCAGCAAAACATCAGGTAAGAATTTTAAGTAACAAAAGAATTTCCACAGCATTAATTTTCTTAAAGGAAAAGAAGTAGGTGTCATGATAGACACAAAAACAAATCACTAAACCCCAAGTCCAAGCTCCATAAAGCTGCCAAGAGTCAATGCTAGGTGTTGGGAGTAGTTCTCAAGAGGAAGAACAACAGAAAGAAAACGCAAAAGTCTTAAATTAGTTCCTTTCAGTTCCAAATGAACCTTGCTTAACAAAGCAAAAGTCATTGGTTGCCAGCTAACTAAAAGATGAAGCTTTCATGTATATCACTTTCCCCTCAAAATACAACTGCTCTTTCAAGTATTTGGAAATGTCAGTGTGCATGGGATACTTAAATTTATGAGAATTTTGGATGTCACAAATGAGTTAGATTCCTTTTAACTCTGTTAGCTGACTGATGATCAGGATTATTTTTGAAGCAACTGTTTTTGCAAAACACTGTCGGATACAGAACTGGAACATCACATTATACATGAGGGAATCCTACTTGGAGCCCCTGACCTTTACAGTTAAATCTCAACAATGAGTGACAAACCCTACCTTGCAGTCCTCCAAATCTGAGATCATAGAGTGTGTGTGGTTCTTCAGTTCATTTAACTGCTACCTTCTTATGGCTCTACACTCCAGATTGTTGTTGTTGTTGTTAGCTGCTACTGAAGTGACCCCAAGTGTTCAGAGTACAACTGTGACTCACAGGGTTTCCAAAGGTGTGAACTTTGGAATCAGATCGCCAGGTCTGTCTTCCAAGGTGCCTCTGGATGGGGTTGAACTGCTAACTTTTCAACTAGTAGTTGAGTTCTTAACTGTTTGTGCCACCCAGGGACTCCTTCACTGGCCAAAAAAAAAAACAAAACAGTAAATTGGTCCTCATGGCATGTCAGTTCCTCTAGTATTTGCCTTAATGTGGTATTACTATTTAGAAATTCCCATGATATATATAATGTTCTTATATGTTTTTAAAATTGGTTAGCTAGACATCCATTAGTAACTGATGCTAATTCCTTTCAGTGATCCTTTAGGTTTCCTGCTGTACTTTGAGAAGATAACAGGAAAACTCTGGGATTCTGTTGTCACACCCCACAGGAAATGATGCTGTCTAGTACAGATACTCCTTCACTGAATTAAGTGATAAGCTAAAATACAAAAATTCCAGCTGGGCGTGTTATTGTGTGCTGTCCATATGTGACTCCTGAAGCACACTTCTGATATCCTGTTATGTGAGGGATTTTACTTCATTAGTCAAATTTTAGCATTTTATTTTTAAACAGCAAGAATCATTTTTTTTTTTCAGTTACCATAGAACAATTTCTCAAGTAAAATCACAGCAATAATATTTTATGAATTTGGTGTTTAAAGCATGAAAACATTAGCCTGGTTCCATTTTATATCAAGGTTTTAGCACAAATAATAAAATTTCAGAGAAAAATGTACTATGATATGAAATGTACATTTTTTAAAAAGAACATTGTTTCCTCTAAGTATTTTTCTACTATAATTTCTCCAGTATACCTTTATGAAAGGCCAATTAAGCCAAGCAATACAAAGTCTGTTTTTCTGTACTAAGATGATTAACCACATTCCCAATATATCCTCTCTCAGTTCTTGAGTAATCATTAGCAAGCATACAAGTCATCAGAATACACTCTAACTGAAATCATAAATTCCATTCCTTTGGCACATGCATAAGATTCAAGCTGATCATTTCTAAATATACTTAACTGGTACCTTTCATAACCATAGACTCTCAAAAAAGCATAACCTATTTCCAAATTATCCACTGATTTCAATAGAGATGACAACACTCATCATTGGATTAACTAGAAAATATTAACATATGCAAGATTTCATCCAATTATGTTCCAATAATTTTAAATGTATACGTTTCCTAATATAAGAAAATGTATTGGATTCAGAATCCAAATAAGTCTGCCTGTTTATGAGTATATATTTATCCTTAAACTCTTAATAACTAGTAAGTGTTCTCAGTACATATTTGAAAAGTAAAATATTATTAACAAATAAGGAGCCATCGATTGACTCGTTTTCATCCTTGCACTCTGGCAAAGTAGTGAGTTTCATGTTAATTTTATCAGGGCATTTTAGAATTCATAATTAGATTAATGTAGCTTACTTACTAAACTAAAACTCACTGCCATCAAGTTGATTCCGACTCATAGTCACCCCCTTTGGGTTTCTGAGGCACTAAATCTTTATGGAAGTAGATGGCCCAGTCTTCCTTCCAGCTTACTTACTAATTCACATTAAAAATATATGTTATTTCCTCTTACATTAATATGTCCCTTATTACTCTGACACATTTTCATAGAATGATTGTTGTAAAAATTAATTTCCTCATCAGAATTACATGATACATATTTAAAATACTGTAAGTGGTAGGTTCAAAATGGGTTGAGAGGTTTGCTGTTTCTTTTTAGAGCTGTCAAAAAGACACAATTTTACCCTTTTCATTTTGTTTTTAGGAATATTTCTGCATATTTTAAAAAGTAAAAGTAGTTGAGTATATATAGGTGGCTATCAAGGGTTCCTCTTAAAATAGTCACCCTTGTCAGGAAGGCTGTTGAACTCAAGATATGCTCTTCTACAAGCATTTAGCCACCAAATATACAAAATTCAAATAATAGTAAATCATAATAATATCCTTAACATCTCTTCAACTTAAAAATATTAAATCAATCTCAGTTAAAGAGTGAGATGAAACTGTTCTTAATGTGTTTGTGTGTGTGTGTGTTTGTATGTATGTGTACCCCACAGCTATGGATGGTATCATATCCATAAGGGAAATACTACTAATGTTTATAGGGTAAGAAATCATATTGATAATCAAAAATTTTACTTTTAATGCTTATTGAATTTTCTTTTTAGAGTTGAGCTAACCAAAACTTAAAAATTAGTGGCATGATCATTTTATCTACGTTAAAAATGTTTCAAGAGCTTAACTTATCAGTTACAATTTTAAACCTCAAGGAGAAAAAGAATGTGACCTTCTTTCAATGGTTGTACTAATAGTTCACTTGGGCTCATTTTGTAATCCTGACTCGATTGCCATAAACTCCAGGTTCCGGCTCAGCATTCTAACCACATACTGCACCCACTAATCACCCACTGCAATTGAGTCCATTTGGACTCATAGGGACCTGTAGGACAGAGTAGAAAGACCCCAGAGGGATTCCAAGGCCGCAAATCTTTACTGAAATCGACTGCCACATCTTTCTCCCTGAGCAGCTGAACTGCTGACCTTTTGGTTGGCAGCTGAGAACTTTGACCACTGTGCCATCAAGATCCCTTTAGTAAGCAACAGTACTCTTCAAAACCCAAGTCTGGCGTACTCTCAATTCTGCTCAGGAAACTGAGAGCACCCTGGTTACACTTTGGATCCCATGCACTGTACCTTGAAGCTGAAGCTTAATCATTTGATTCTATTGCCTTCTCCCCATAGGTATGCTGTGTCTTGTTTGGAAGGTTATCTAATTATAAAACACCCTACATCTTGCGTCATCGATCCCATTAAGCAAAGTGAAGCAAAGGGAAATGCAGAATAGGGAAGCAGACTTTAAAATGGTATTGCAAAAATGTCCTCAAATCTCTATGACAATCTTCTAAATTCAAAGCTTTTAAATGATGGGGCATCGCCAGTGGCCCACCCCAACTATCACTCCCACACTCTCTCTTCTCCACTTCACCTCCTTTTTCCCATTTTAGGATCTCAGCCCACATGGTTGCTACCTTCTCCCAGAACTGCCCTAGGGAGATACCTAGTTGACCTCGGCCCTGTCTGGCTTTTCCGGCAAGGTAAGCACAAACGGAAAAAGCACACCTCGGGCATCAAAAGGGGCTTTGAGCAACTCTGGCTCGAAGTGGCCCCTTTGGTCCCCGTCCTCTCCAGGCTCCCCGTCCTGAGAGAGGACAAAGCGCCAAGTGCCCGCACGGTTCACACAGTAGATAGTGCCGTCTAGGGCGGCACAACGGAAGGGTTGTAGGCCCGAGAGTCCGCCCGGAGGCCGCAGGTTCGAGGCACACTGATTCCACTGCTTGGCCAGGCAGTGGTAGCGAAAGACGTTGACCCCTCCGCTGGCACCAGCCATAGCCTGGAGGTCGCCACGACCACCGCAAAGGTCGAAGCGATAGATGAAGCCTTTGAGGGCCACCATGTCGGCCGACCGCTTGCGGCTGCTACTGCACGGGCACTCTTGCCACTCGTCACGCCGGGGGTCGTATTTGAGAAGACGGTAGAAGAGCGAGCCTCCGGACACGTAAATCTCCCCGTTGCAGGTGGTGGCTTCGTGGGCCACGGCGAAAGCGCCCTTGGGCAGTGGGGCCACGGAAGTCCAGCGGTCGGTGCGCGGGTCGTAGCGCTCCACGCTGAACAAGCACTCGCCGCCAACAGCGTACAGGTAGCCGTCTAGGGCCAGCAGCTTGAGCTGCGAGCGAGCCTGGCTCAGGGGTCGCACAGTGCTCCAGCTGTCGGTCACTGGGTTGTAGCAGAACACTTTGTCCGAAAGGCGGGCGCGCCCCTCGGGACCGCCTTCCAGGATGCCCCCCGCCAGGAAGAGGTAGTTGTAGAGCACACACACTGCACAACCCTTGGCGTTGGCGCCCTCGGGCAGCCGGGTCAGGACCCGCCACTCTTTGTCCGCTTCTTGGTAGTAGTAGATGACAGAGTCGCTGTGGCCGTCCTCGTCTTCCGAGGGAGCTCGCGCAGGGGGCGGCGGCGTGGGGGGCTGCTCCCCAGGAGACTGCGCGGCGGCTGCAGCCGCGGCCGACGGACTCTGGGGACGGCTGCTCTCCCGGCTCTGCGGCCGGCTCCCTACACGCTCGAAGACGTCATTGATCTCTGCCGCCAGGAGGCAGCCGCGGCCGCCCTGCAGTCTGCGCTGCAGGATAAGGTCTCTCTCGGCGCCGGTCAGGCGGCCGTAGACGGACGGCTCGCGCAGCACTTCGAGGTAGTGGTCGCTCATGAAGCGGTAGGCGGCTTCCCGGAGCTCCCCGAGCCGCTGCTGCTTGGCCAGGCTCAGGACCTGATAGCAGTTGGCTAGGGTGATCTGCGTCCTCATGGCGTCCATGGCGCACTGCACGGCGCAGGGCATCTGCAGGAAGCGCGCACCAGCCACCACCTCGGCGATGTTGTCCTGCCGCACGTCCCCCATACGTCCGGAGTACAGGTAGTCCACAAGCAGCCGCAGCGCCACGTAGCTCACCCCCTTGATACGCAGGATCTCCCGCGACGAGCGCGCTCTAAAGTAGTCGCTCTTGGCAGCCAGCACAGCTTTGTGCGCCTGGATGCGGCGGCCGGCCACCTCGATCACCAGGTCGGGCTCTTCCGCGGACCCGCGGCCTGGCGTCGCACTGCTGGGGGCGCTGCTGAAGGCGCAGCTTTCGCCTCCGACCTCCCTCTCCGTGCGGCTCGGCGGAGGCGCTCCCTTGGGCTGGCCTCCAGTTTGGACACAATAAGTGACAGGCGGAGGCTGCGGCGTTAAGCTCTTCCCGGCCTCCCTCGGCGCCGCCTCCTCCTGCGCGGGCTCTTCAGACGTGGCACTGGCGCTGTAGATTTCCCACTGACTCTTCACCACCCGGCTTCCTCTCTGGGAGGTCGGCGGGGAGGCTGCTGCGTCCTCCGCTGCGGAAGACGCGGTTGCACAAGACTGCGGTGGTGACTCGTCTCCGGAGCTGAAACACAGGGAAGAGCTGAAACTACAGGGTGTTTGCGCTAGGGACTCGGTGCCTTCTTTCCCATTGATACCGGTCCCCTGATCTTCCTCGTCTGTGTCTGGCTGCTGCAGGCTGCCCTCTCCAGAAGTTTCGAGAGCATCTACCTGGTCCCCAGCCTCTCTGCGCACCCCATTAGCAAAGGCGCTTGGGTTGTCACTTGGGTAAAGGACGCAGGAAGCCACTGAGTTCTCCATGGTAAGAGTTTTTCTTAGCTACTTCTCCCACACCCACTTCCCGCTCAGCAGCTGTATAAAATCGCCCTGACTTGGGCTGGTCAAGGTTAATCGTTACTCTAGGGTTTCTTGCTTCACATGTTTTTCCTGGCACGTGATCAGAGTTCACTTGTTTCTACACCTTTTTTTTTTATTTTTTTGGTCACAGGACGATCCCCTTTGCCTTTCCCACACTGCACTCCTCTCCTGCGAAGAGGGGTGTGTCAAACTCTAGATGCACTCTGTACTGAACTTTTGAACCATAATAAACTTGAACTTTGTATGTCTAATAGATAAGTCTAAGAAAGTCTTTGTGAATTAGTCTCAATGCCAATGTAGTATTGCTTTAATTAAATGTACAGGAAAGTCCTGGAGCTACAGCAAGTATTTTATTTATAGTACTTTCTCTGCAGAATTGAGTTACCAAGCTACATCTAACAAACCAGGGCATGCTCTTTCTATGAGTCAGTGTTTACCCACTTTATCACTTTACATTTCCTTCACTTTTCATTCCATCACATTTCTGCTGCCCACAGAGCCAGAAAATCTGAGACTATAGCTGAAACTTTAGAATCTTGATTTTTATCTCCGTTTTTTGTAGTCACCCCAATGAGTTTTTACTTTATGAATCCCATTTATGATTATGGTTTATGAAAGGTGAGTTAGAGAATCTTTGTCTTCATGCCTTGGCATCTGTAGTTCTTGAAATGTGTTTGCATCCACACTTATCACCTGAGCAGAGAAGAAGCAATCTATAATTCACTTGCCATACGGATGTTAGAAAAAACAATTTTTGTAATCATTTGAATGGCTTTCCTCATTTATCAGTCAGAAGCCTTCCTTTGCAGCTTCCTTTGTTGGGGTATCAGGTGTTTCCATATTATTTCACCGTACTCTTCTTGTTCCTGTTTACGGGAGAAAAAGAGAGAATGTTTGAATTTGCATTTTTCAGTAAGATTGTTTGTGTCAGTAGATTCTACCATATTTCCCTCCAAAGCTTTCAGGTTATAGAATTCAAATTTAGAAGCAAAAGAGATTGTGATTTTTCACCACTGGATATTTTGATACCGAGGATATACAGAATCATTTAGCTATATTAAAAAAATGATGACCTCTCAATATTCTTCCTGTAACTTGATGAATATGAAGAACTCAATTCAGGTGACAGTCATTACCAAAAATTAGGGCCTTAAATATATTAGGTTGGAGAACATAAAATTGCTCATTTTCATAGGTCAAAAGCAGTCAAGTACCAACAATTTTGTATTTTTCAACCTAATAAAATATATATGTGAAATTAAGAATTCCTGTCTGTAGGGTGGAGGGAAAAACATAGCTAGATTAGGAAATTTTATTAAAATGTAACAGTTTCCCTTTAGTCTTTTCCAGCCAATTATTTTAGTTAAACAAGTATTTGGAGACAAGTGCTGAAGGCACTTCCCTGCAACAGGTTTCCTCCAGTAGCATATATTGATGATCCCCCAGGGCTCCAACTCCTAAATGTTTGAACTAGTCATTCTTGGAATTACTTCTCTGATAAAACTCAGAGAAGCAATTCTCCAAAATAGCCCAAATGCAGCAAAAGAAAAGCAAAAGCAGAAGTACTTGGGAGACAGAAGTGGGTACCTACAGATGAATTATAAAATATTTCCTAAATTCATTGAGGCACCCTGTTGTTGCTGTTATTTGGTGTTGAGTTGGCCCGACTCATAGTGACCCCTCTCCTTGGGTTGCCGAGGTGGTGTCACTACGGAAGTAGACTGCCCAACCTGCCTTCCGAGGAGTGGTTGGTGGTTTTGAACCGCCAACATTCTGGTTAGCAGTCACCCTAGTCCATTGAAATGGGACTTAGAGGTCTGTCTTTTGAGTCAACACAAGGGGAAAGCTAAACTGCCTTTTTGCTTTCTAAAGAAGAGAATGTGGAAAATAAAAACATAAAACTATAACTCAGGTTTGTCACTGCTATATAGAATAGAAGGATGTGTTCACCTCTTAAATAGATAAAATGATAATTAACTGCTCTTCCCTCAGCATCACTCCTCTGATTTTATGCTTATCTTATATAATACCAATACCTAGTATCTAAATGCTTAGCTTTGTCCTGCCCTTCCTACCAGTGTCACCAAAAAAGCTTTTCCATTATTCTCAGAAATAAAACTGTTTTAAAGTTGGAAATTCAAGACATTCAACTCCCCCTCCCATATCTTCATTCTTTTTTTTTTTTTTTTGCGTGTTCACTATGTGTAAGGCACTGTCTCAGGATGCATGGGAAATGCAATGTTAAGAAATTTCAAGAGTAACCTGAAACTGATCTATGGGGTGTGTAGGTCACAGATAATACTTCGGGAACAAAATGCTCTTGAATGTTTACTCAGCTGTCCACCACCCTGACTGTAATGTCCTGCTTTCTTCTGGTTCTGTATTTAGGGAAATAGAAATGAATGCTGGCCCACAGTGATGAGAATGTAATGACCAACTATAAAATCTTTAAAGATGTTAAAAGTTCACAAAAAAAAAAATGAATTTTCCCAAGGGTTTCAGAAATGATTTTCTAGTGAGCTGAGTCATACAAGGGCAAGTTGGATAAAAATTAACCCATCAAACCCACTTAATTATTGAGTACTTTTGCTTAGTAGCTGAGTGCTTTAACCACTGTGCTACTAGGACTCACAACATAAAAATTAAAACATTCAAATAGATTACTAATCATATTTAGTATAGAGATTGGCTTTCTTATTTAGCTTATTCTTTTCATGCTGCTTCTGTAAAATATTACTACAAAAAGAAAATTTCACCTTGGCCTGAAAAAAAAAAAATTCTAGGTCTGTCTCTGGCTTGTCTCTGATTGGAACCAAAAAATAAATCCATTGCCATAATATGAAAGTGCAGCAAAAGCCTAAGTCTCAAGAGTTATGTTTATGTAAATCACTGAAAGAAAAAGCCTGTAATGGAGAGCAAATTTAAAAACTTAGATTTGGAACTCTGTTCTCTGAAAGCCCTACAGAATCATCATAAAGCTGATAAGTATATATATACATATATATACTGTGTTGTAGTTACAATGAAGCAAAAGATGCATCTCCATGACAAAACATAGATAGTCTGAAGTAGTCAGCAGGTCAACCAGTAGGCTGACCTGACTAGTAGTTGATCTCCACCTTCACAATAAGAATGCCATTTAGTCAACTAAAAGACATTTGATTCTTATTCCAGCTAACCTCAAGAAAGAATAAATGGTAAGTACCTCTAAAAATCATTCTGGGTTTCTTTATAACTGTATTAATTTTACATCCCCCACAAAAAATATTATTATTAAATTTTGTCCTTTTGAGGTATATTTCTGGTAGAGATGATGATTTTGCAATATCCACCCATATTTTCTCACCTCTCTCCCCAAGTGCCTCTGGGCATGTATTACAGAGTTACTTGGCAGAGTGAGAGGTATAGTCTGAGGCCATCAAACAGCATAGAACAGCTATACCAGTCTCACAGTGATCAAACTATGACAGTCCCTTAGCTAGTACTCAAGACAATTAGCTACATATACAACAAATAATACAACGCAATGAATATCTGTTTATCATATATAAAACAAAATTGCTATTGAACCTATACATTTTGTCAGACATGTTAGAAGATCATCTGTGACTATAATGTCAAAATGGTAGTGATGTTGCATTTCAAGTACTCAGAGGCCAACATTAGCAGTCTTTGCTTCATTAAAGCTACCCAAGACTAAACCCATTGCCACTGAGTCAATTCTGACTCATAGTGATCCCCACTGGGTGTTCAAGGCTGTAAATCTTTACTGAAGTAGGGTGCCTCATCTTCCTCCCATGGAGCAGCTGGAGGACTTGAACCACTAAATGCCTTACCCACTAAGCCACCAGAGTTCCTTTCATAGTGACCCTATAAGACAGAGTAAAATTGCCCCATAAAGATGGCGTAGTGCCTAAGGCATTTGACTGCTAACCAGAAAGCTGGTGGGTCAAACCCACCAGCCACTCCTTGGAAGGAAGACTGGGCAATCTACCCCCGTAGAGATACCACCTTGGAAACCCAAGGAGAGGTCGCTATGAGTCAGAATCAACTCCACGGCAATGAGTTTGGTTTGTTTTATGTAAATATTTATTTATAGAAGCTAGAGCCACATCTTCTTCCTGCAGAGCAAACATGGACCTTTTGCCTAAACCAGAGTGCTTTAACCATTGTGCCACCGGGGCTCCACACTGAAGCTACCAGCAGGCAGCATTCCTGAAAGATGGTTTCACAGCATGGCCTGGTTCTATGGCTTTCCCATCACCTTGCAGAAAAGATGTGTAGAATCAGGAGATTCCACAAGGGAAATGAGGAAATTAAGCAGAGGGACCAGATTTGTTTTCAAATGATGGTAAAAAAAATCAACATTAATAGTTATGTCATTCCCCCACCTCCCTAGGATGAACCATTACTGTCATTTTGCCTTAAACTAGATGGGGAAGAATCAGCCTATTTTGTGTTTAATAGCCTTCTCACACTTCAGCAACTGTACCAAGACTGCTAGTTTCAAATGTCATTGGACTAGAATTTAGGGATTTCCAAAGGGACTTTTTCCCCTCATCTTGTGGTTGGCTCTAGCTTAAGAATTCTCCACAAAGAGGCTCTACTGAGGATTCTTTACGGAGGGCCCATCCTTGTTATTGTGAAATAACTGAAACTTCTGACCTGATGGGGACATTTGGAAGGATTTTTTTTTCCCCTTAGTGATTATCAAGTATTTTCCTGAGCACTACTTTTGAAGTCTATCACAATCAGAAGAAAAACAGAACTTTAGCACAGCATATTAACTGAAAGAAATTGGGAGGCATTACCAGGTTTTCTTCTTGACTGTTGGGAAATAATAAGAACAAGCTTTAATTACATGTAATTAATTAATATAGACACACCCCTAAATACATTTCTTTCTGACCTTATAAGTACTTAAACAATTTTAAAAAGAAAAA